GCCGCCCCCGACCGCGTATGGGGTCTGTCAACACGCCGGCTAATTCAAAGATGCGTACGACCTCACACTGGGCCTGGCTACATTCTCCCCAGCCCTCACACAATCATATCTCCCCTCATACGTCGGGACGCACCCGGCCACGTATGGGGTCTGTCAACACGCCGGCTAATCCAAAGACGCGTGCGACCTCACACTGGGCTTGACTACATTCGCACCAGCCCTCATACAATCATATCTCCCCTCATACGTCGGGACGCACCCGGCCACATATGAGGTCTGTCAACACGCCGGCTAATCCAAAGACGTGTGCGACCTCACACTGGGCCTGGCTACATTCTCACCAGCCATCATACTGTTCACTTTGGCCTGACTACATTCTCACCAGCCACACGGGTTTAAAGGCCTCAACATGATCACAATATGGGGGGGTTACGTGGGGTAATGCGCATAGCACTGTAAACTAACATTCGATCGCTTTATTTACCTTTATACATCCACACAATTAAATATATAAAATATAATTTCTACTCCTAAATAAACCTCAATCCTGGTATAGCATCTGATAATTTCGCAATTTAAATCATATAATAATATTCTAAATTCGCATAAAAACCATTTAACTTAACAACGCTCAAGACCTATCACTAAGGTCATTCTAACCCTCCTGGGATGGTAGAACTACAACGAAAGTCTCGTGGTCAACCTAGGGTCAAACGGGCCCACGGGGGCCCACAACCTCCAAATTCCGATCTGACAGTTCCTATATGTTCTACAAGGTTTAGGACACACGTCCTGCAAGTTTGGTCCAGATCGGACGGTCGGATTGCTCACGATCGCACGATCGGACTGTCACTAAAACCCTAACCCCTAGGGTTGGCATTTTCGGAGTATCCGGAACTCCATTTTACGATCCGTCAAATCCTACGTGATCCTGGTAATACCTAGATCAACATATTATAACTTCAGGACCATCCAACGGTCCAAACCTAGCGAACCCGAAAAATACGCGATATGCGATATCCGTTCGGAACTCTAACGGTATCCATATTGAAATTCGAGCACACCTACGTGCTCGTGACAACGAGAAGATCACATTGGGACAAAATGCCCCTTTTCTACAGTGCCCACGCGCAGGCAGCGCGTGGGTGTCCAAAGCGATACCCATAGCCGGAAAACTTCCAAATCGAAAGCCACCCTTCCGGCTACAGCTACTACTCGACGAGTGGAGCAACTTATTCAACTACGGCAACGTCCAATTCAGACGGCAAGTGGCCGGAATTTCAACCCGAAATCCGGCCAAAACCTAGGTTCTAAAATCGGAATCCTAGACAAGAAATCAATCAAATCCTACCCAACAGGCAGCTAGATCTCAGAAAATAGATGAGGAACCGTACCTGTTTCACCGGATTTGGGCGGCGGAGGCGGCGGCGCAACGACGGGAAAAACCCGTTTCAAACCAGTCGAAATTGCCGGCGGGATTCGAGGTTTTTGGCGGGGATTTCGGGTGCGACGTGACCGGGACGTCGAGCCGGTTCGAACGTGACCGGTCTCACGTCCTGCCTTGGCCAGACGGCCGTGAATCGAAGAGAGAGAATCGGAGTCGGGGAGAGAGAGAGAGAGAAGAGAGAACGCTCGGGAGAGAGAGAGAGAGAGAGAGACGGGGGCAGTTCCGTCTTTTAACCAAAAACTCATTTTAAAATATTTACGATTATGCCACTGAGCTTCATTTGATCATATCTCTTTCGTTACAACTCCGATTCGAGCCCACTACGTGTCTACGGACTCATCTCACCGTGCTCTACGCAACGGTATAACTGGAATTTCCAAATTCCCTCCAGATAAGAAAGTGACTAAATTACCCCTATCCCAAGGGTAAATTCGTAATTTCACTTAAATAAATTAAAATATGCAATAAATTTGGAGTCGGGGTGTTACACACACACACTCTCTCTCTCTCTCTCTCTCTCTCTCCCCCCCTCTCCCTCCCTCCCTTCCTTTCTCTCTCCACTCTCCCTCCTCCAGGGGCAATCCCACCTAGAGGATTTGAAAAAATTAAGCCTATGGTATGTGATAACATGCAACAAACATATATATATATATATATATAAAATGTTGTCCATAAATTACATAATTTCCAAGAACAAAATACTTAATTGATTTATTAGTCTTAGATACCTACCAAACAGCTCTTCCTTATGTTGATTATAAAACCCTCATTTAATTATTCTTCTTGATAAATGTAAGACAGTTATGGATATTGAATCCAACTTTTAACTAATAAACTGAGATTTTAATAAGAAGTGTCTAGACATATCAAATATCATGATGAAGTAACTCCATCATCTAAAATTCACGACATAATTTACACTAGTATCGAGTCGAGCACTTCTTTAAAACATATATAGAAAAATCCCATTTTATTTTAATGTTGTTTGTGCTTAAAATTGGCAGCCGTGAAGCTGAATTTATTCAGAACATTGTCAACGAGATTTCCTTACATGTATTACATGATACCCATATCAATGTGGCAAAATACCAAGTTGGAATAGAGGCTCGTGTACGAGATATTCATAAAGTTTTAGAAGTTGAAGGAAATGATGTTCGCATGGTAGGAATATGGGGGGATGGTGGAATAGGAAAGACAACTGTTGCTAAAGCTGTTTATAACTCACTGGCCCATGTGTTTCAAGGGAGTTGTTTTCTGGAAAATGTAAGAGAAAGATCAATACAATATGGAGGCCTAGTCGACCTACAAAATCTTCTTCTTTATGAGATTCTAAGAGGAAAGGAAATAAAGGTTACCAGTGCCGATAAAGGAATCAGTGTGATAAAGGAAAGGTTTTGTCGTAAAAAGGTCCTTGTAATTGTAGATGATGTGGATCATTTGGACCAGTTAAACAACTTAGTTGGAGGTTGTGATTGGTTTGGTTTGGGCAGTAGAATTATCATAACGACAAGAGATAAGCATTTTCTAAGTTCTCATCAAGTTAGTATTATATACGAGGCCAAGAAATTAAACTTTGGTGAATCTCTTGATCTCTTCATTAGTTGGAATGGTGGGAGAAATAAAAATTTGGATGATGATTATGTGAAAGCTGCAGAAACTGTGGTGAATCATGCTCAAGGTCTTCCTTTAGCTCTCAAGGTTTTAGGTTCTCATCTATGTGGTAGAAGTATAGATGAGTGGCATAATGCATTGGATGGGAATCTGCACTCGGACATTAAAAAAACTCTCAAAATAAGCTATGATGCATTGGAATATTCGGTGCAAGAAGTTTTCCTTGACATAGCATGTTTCTTTAACGGTAGAAAGGTGAACCATGTGATACCGATCCTGGAAGGTTGTGACCTCAAGCCTGAGTATGCTATTAAAGTACTCGTAGACAAGGCCCTCATAAATATTGAACAAGACACAATTGGGATGCATGACTTGCTTGAAGAATTGGGTAGAGGAATAGTTTATCAAGAGTCACCAAATGAGCCTGGTGAATGTAGCAGATTGTGGTTTCATGAGGATGTTTATCGTGTTCTAACAGAAGGAACAGTAAGTCTCTGTGTGTGATGTGTACACTTGCATTTTTATTTGCTAAAGAGCTTTGTATGTTAACACTACTGTTTTTTGATAACAGGGAACAAACAATATTAAAGGCATCATAGCAAAGTTTCCGACACCAGATAACATATGCTTGAGTGCTGACAGCTTCTCAAAGATGAAAAACCTTCGACTTTTCATCAATGTGAATGCACGATTTTATGGTGATCAGGTGGATTATCTATCTAATGAGTTGAGGTTTCTTCATTGGCCTGATTGTCCTCTACAAACTTTACCATCTACTTTCAATCCAAGGAAACTTGTTGAACTTTATATGCCTCGTAGCCGCTTGTCACAACTTGGGGAGGGATTCAAGGTAATTTAAATTATTTTCATCCCTTCGTATTTTCAAAAGTTTATTAAGTTTTTGGAGTTATGGCTTGCACTTGTTTATGCCTTATCGTTTGATCCTTCTTTTTCTTTTCTATTTTTGTCTTATATAGCGTTTGCAAAATTTGAAGTCCATGAATTTTGAGAGCTGTGAATTCCTAACACAAACCCCAGATATCTCTGGAATTCCAAACTTACAGTCCTTGAATCTAGACGACTGCACGAGTTTAGTTGTGGTTCATCCCTCTGTTGGATGTCATGATAAGCTTGTTGACTTGAGTCTTGTGAGATGCCATAACCTCACACTATTTCCAATAATCAAGTCAAAATCTCTAGAAGTTCTCAATCTTGAAGATTGCAGAAGACTGGAGACTTTCCCTGAAATTGGGGGAAAGATGGATTCCTTACGTTGCATGTTTCTATCTGGTAGTGGCGTCAAAGAGTTGCCTGCGTCAATTGCATATCTCATCAGTCTTGTATTTTTAGACCTAAGGAGTTGTGAAAATCTTACGAATCTGCCACCCAGCATTTATGAGTTGGAACATCTAAATGAAATTGATCTCCGAGGAAGTCGAAAGCTTGTTACATTTCCAAATAAAGTGGAGTCTGAAGATTATGTGTCTACATTGTGCGTACTTGATCTAACACTATGTGATTTCCTTGTAAGTATTCCCGAATGCATTACGAAATTTGTCAATTTGCGGGAGCTTTTCTTGCATGGCTGCAAAAGGCTTCGAGATATTCCGGAACTTCCACCAAAAATAGTAAAGTTAGAGGCGAGTGATTGCGTATCATTGGAAAGGTTTTCATCATTGTCCAACATTCTGAAAGGTAAAAAAGACTCACAAATGATTGAGTTCGTGGACTTGTGTAATTGCCAGAGACTCTGTGGCAATCTGGCTCGTGACCTCACAAAGAAGCAAAACATTTTAGCAAAGGAGCAGATCACACTCTTCTTTGATCACCTTCTGTCTTCACAGAAACTTGGATTTCAGGTTGTATTTCCAGCAAGTTTTGAAGCTCTCTCGACGTTGTTTAGCTGTCATAAGGATGTGAAGGAGCGTGATGAAGCATGTGAATTTTTGATTGAAATCCCTCCAAACTTCAAATGCCAGAACCAAGGATTGGCTCTATACGCTGATGTTGAATACCTGCAAAATAAAAGACTAGTTTACGATCATTTTCGAGCAAAAATTTCCGTCAATCAACCAGGAATGCTACCTCATTTTATTCAGTTCGATGACATTTTCAGAAAGATAGGGTCAGGTCATGTTATAGGGTCAGGTCATGTGTGGCTGTGCTATATTCGATTCAGAGAAATGTCTTGCCGGGATGATCAGATTACCTGGCCGCAGTCGCCTGTTGTGTGTCGAGTTAATTTTCTGAATTTGACACTAGATTCGCTGCGTTGTAAAAGCTTCGGGGTCCACCTGGTAATGACACAGGATGAAGAAGACCTGTCTATATTTCCGGAAGATGGTGAGTCTGAATCCGATGACTTGGAAGATGTTAATGAGAGGTTTGATGGAGATAATTGTGTTGATCTATGTGAAGATGAGCAAGACTCGGAACATGACTACTTCAGCTGTGAAGATAATGAAGATGGCTACTTTTACTGAAGATGATGATGAAGAGGTGAATAGGTCGGAGACAGAGATTTGCAATGTTGGAATAAGACAAAAGAAAAACTAAGATGCAATGGATACTATTGATGAATACTAATATGTCAAGTCGCCCACAATCTAAAGAAGAGAGTTCCGTGCGCCCACGGGGAAGCTTTTCATTCACTCTACAAAACTCATACCCCCACTCTCTAGTCTCTCTCTCTCCCTCTCTCTCTCTCTCTGGAATATTCCTAAAACTAAATCCTGTGTGCGAGCCTATAACGAACGGCTGTCTGTGACACACTGATTTTTCATCCAATCCAAGCCACATGAAAGGCAAAGCCCTCTTTCTCTCTCTCTCTCTTCTATATAACCCAACAAGCATAATAGCCAGCACTCCTCATCATCCTTGATCAAACTCAAATAGTCAAGACCAAGCCAGTTTTCGTGTTTTCAAGTTCAAACATGTCTGCAGTGGTAGAGGTTTGGATGAGCGAGTTGGCAAAGCTGAAAGACAAGGTAGGGGCTAAGAAGCGACTGGTGTTTTCATCAAAGGGAAAACAAGGAGAAGGTGATGATGAGGTTGAAGAACAACAGCAAGTGTTGAAAGAAGCAAGAAAAGAGAGCAGCAGAATGGCTCAGATTCAGAGGGACTTGGATTCCTCTAGGCTTTCGGAGGCCACAGTTCGTTTGCTTATGGACCGTTTTGTGCTTTGGTGACACCTTGTGAACATGTTTAACTTGTTGAAGGACCTTTGCTCGCTTCTCGGGCCGTGAAAAATGAGATTATTTTTTTCAGTAATTATATATAACTAGGTTGTTTTGATTAAAAAATCATTAGTGATCCATTAGATTGCCTCCATGTAATTAATTTTAGTAGATACATAAACTTATTACTAGCGTATTTGTTTTTTGTTTTTCCATTTTAATTATATTTTTGCAAGCTATTAGCGGATGAATGATTCTTACATTTGGGATTATTGTTTTTCCAAAAGTTTAAATTATTGCCTCCAAGCTTTCCCTTAACAGGACAACCCATTAAACCATATATTATTTTTTAACACTTTTTCATATTAGAAAAATTAAAATTAAAAGAAAAATCAAATAATGAATCCTATTTTTATGGAAAATAACTACCCATTATCTTTTTTAATTCTACAATAATTTTTTTTTTTTTTAAAGGCCCCTTACAAGCGCGGAAGCGCGTGTGGAGAGGTTAGTTTATTTATAATATATATATAGTCAGTTAACTTAACCAAACCAGATTGTAATGTTTAATTAAATAGTTATTGTCTAAACTAAAAAGGAGGAATATTGATGCTATATAATTTTCCTTCTTTTGTACTTCATCAGCATTTGTGGTATTCTTTCTTATCCCGGGGTTTTTCCTGTGTGGTTTCTCCGGGAAGGTTTTAACGAGGCCATGCGTTACATGCCCATTATTCCTCCTTTCTAATGGAATGAAATCTGCCTTTTCAAAAAAAAAAAAAAAAAAAAAAAAAAGAAAAAAAGAAAAAAGAAAAAAGGAAAAGGTATTGGTCATGCAACAATTGACTATAGCATCATGAAACAACAAGTTTGATTAAATCCTCCATCTTATTTTAGCCCTTGGCATCATTAATTAAAAAGTTACTATATCTAGTAACAGCCTATTTGATCTTGTAATATATATTTGGTGGCAACCCAATTGAAACCACCCACCCCAAAACTTATTTGACATTCCACTATACGCTCACTATCTAGCCATTGACCATATAAAGACTTCATTCTGATACTCATCCAGTTTCTGCTCGAAGAAAAGATCAAATGAAGTCCCTCTCACTCTATGTGAATGGGTTCATTATATTATTTTTGAGAATTGCATTCATTCTTAATCAACAAAATATCGCTTTAATTACAATCCTATTTTTTAATTTGGTTATGTGTCTCATTACCTGCAAGCCCCAATTGTTAGATGAGATATATATATATATATATATTTAGGACATTTCCTCTCGAGAGGGGCGATAATATATTAAACTCGCATACACTATACGAATACTTTTCTATCTAATAGCATGACACATTATGAATTAACTGACTCGCCAATAACAAAATTTTGTGTTCTAACAATTATGGAGGTTATTTTTTACAATCCTGATCTATTTTAGTCATCTTCATCATCAATCGACCTTTTTTCTTTTTTTCCACACCCCAACTACTTGGTAAACAACCATGTTGCAACGAAAGTGTAGTGATGCTTCCTTTTTCTTTTTCTTTTTGTGGTTTTGTAGTTGTTTCCTTTTGACCATTTTCTTATTCCCTTTGACTTCACATCCACTATGAAGATGACAGGAAACTACTTCACATCTGTGATGTATATTGATGCTTATTATGAGTGAAATCATGGTTTTTGTTATAAATAATTATTGTCTCATTAATTATAAAATAAATAAGGACAATTTTTTTTTTTTTGGGTAAGAAGTAAGGTATTAAGTATTTAAGGTTTCGAAAATTATCGATATTGATAAAAACTAGATAAAAAAAAACAATGGAAATGATAAGAAAAACATGGGAATTTGTAATGGATTTATTTATTTATTTATAGCACAAGTGATTGGGGGAGGGTGGTTTACACAAATAGTCATTGAGTGTCTGGGTGTCTCGAACTTTTACCCACATGAATGGAGGTGGAAGAGCTCAATCAACTGAGCTATACCCCATTGACTTTTGGCACAAAAGAATTGAATGAAATGTGTTGCATAGTGAGTTTGAGTGATTTAAGATGATTATATTACAAGCTGACAAACAATGTGAATTATATAAGATTACCGAATTCAGGTCGTACTGAGACTATCGAATTTAGTTTATCATCCTATATTCGATAAACACCAAATTTTGGATCATATTGATTTTATTTCCTAATGAATATCCTAAGCACGTCCTATGTGCGTGTATCTAGTGGGGATTAAAATATGACAGCATTTCTCTTGTTTTTTTAATCAATTTTTTATTATAAAATTTTACTTAAATTCTGTAAATAATTAGGCCATTTTGTCGATAAAGGAATCAATATTATTTTTCAAAATGTTGTGGACAAGATCCTAAATATTAGGTCATATAATAAGAAAAAAGGAAAAGAAACAAAGTTTTGTCTTCTAACAAAATATTATTTTTAGAGGAGGTTATTTTATGCATCTTCATCATCTATGCATTTTGTCTTTTTTTCCTACACGCCGAACTACTACGTTACTTCTGAATTGCGAAACGACCGTACGTTGCAACGAAAGTGCAGTCTTCTTTTTTATTCATATTCGCCTTTTGACTTCTCATCCACTGTGAAAATGACAGAGGAAACTACTTCGCAGCAGATGGGATGGCCTAATTTTATTTTATTTTATTTTTAATACAAGCAATTGGCGGAGTAGAGTTCGCACAAATATTTATTGGTGTTTGGGATTTCGAGCTCGCATGAGTGAGGTGGAAGAGACTAAACAAACACCTAATATATATAAAAGGAGCCTTTCCCGACATCGATATCTCATCCTTTTTTGCAATCAAATGGATTCAACCACTAATGAAGGTGCCTCTTCTTTCCGCCATTCACAGACATATGATGTCTTTCTTAGTTTTAGAGGTGAAGATACACGCAAGAATTTCACAGGCCATTTGTACAGCAATTTGGTTCAAAAGGGTATTAAAACCTTCATAGATGATGATCTAAGTAGAGGAGAAGAAATATCACTAGCGCTTCTCAAAGCAATTGAAGAGTCAATGGTTTCTATTGTTGTCTTCTCTGAAAACTACGCAGCCTCCAAGTGGTGCTTGGATGAACTCGTTAAGATTCTTGAGTGTAAAGAATCGAAGAACCAAATGGTTTTCCCAGTTTTCTACAAGGTGGATCCCTCAGATGTGAGAAACCAAAGAGGTAGTTTTGGTCAGGCACTTGCAGGCCATGAATCCAAACTCAGAGACAACATGGAGAAGGTCTTGAGGTGGAGGACGACTCTTACACGAGCAGCAAATTTGTCTGGGTGGTCTTTCTTGGACGGGTATGTGGCAAACTATTATAATTTAGTCACAATATTATCTCTTGCTGCAAGTCTTGGTGAATTTATATCCAACATAATTTGAATTATTAGTTCTGTTGTATATTGTTTTAAGAAGAGAAAAAAAATACTAAGAATAATATGAAGACATATAATTCTTTCTTAATGTGGAAAAAAAATCTCTTCCTTTGTTTTCCTTTTTTGTGAGTGTTTGTATCATTTGCCTTTTTTAGTGTTAGTTTAAAGGAAAAGAGATTTAGAGAATGGTTGGTAGTGTTTAGGACAATAGCTTAACTTGGAAAGGAAAACTTTTTAAAAAGGTAACAAGATAATTTTTATTTGAATGGAGGAAGAAGATTACGAAGCTTTACAAACTTAGTTGGATACAAGAGTTGGCTGATGGGAGAGTTAGATAGCTGTAGCTTTTCTTTGTTGATTACAATGAGAGGCTATATGCTTATTTACAGAGGGACTAAGTCGGCAGCTTTGGAAAAATCGTTTGCTCATGCAATTGACTTTTTCAAAGTCATTTTCAGCCACAATTTTTCACCTTATTCTAGATTTCTCTAGTTATAGTACATGGATGTTTCTAGTGACTTTAACTTACCTACTTTCTCTCAATTTTTCTATATTATTCAAGATTTTTCTATATTATTCAAAGTACAATGTGCATTACTTTTTAACACTCCTCCTTAATGCACATTTGTGTTACTCCAAGCATGCTTCATAGCAGTTTGAATTTTGGTCTTGGAAGTGCCTTAGTGAAGATGTTTGCAATCTGCTCCTCTGTCTTGCAGTACTTGAGCTTAACTTCTTTGTTTGCTGACACTTCTCGTAAGATATATAAGCTTTTAGATATTGGGCAAAATGACATTTGCATGGTAGGGATATGGGGGACAGGTGGAATAGGTAAGACAACAATTGCTAAAGCTGTTTATAATTCAATTGCCCACAAGTTTGAAGCTAGTTGTTTTTTGAAAGATGTTAGAGAAAGATCAATACCATATGGAGGCCTAGTCGAACTACAAAATTGTCTTCTGTATGAGATTCTAAGGGGAAAGGAATCAAAGGTGACCGATGTTGATAAAGGAATCAATGTGATTAGGGATAGGTTGAGGGCCAAAAAAATTCTCTTGATTCTTGATGATGTAAATGAACTGAACCAGTTAAACACATTAGTTGGAGGGTTTGATTGGTTTGGTTCAGGCAGCAGAATTATCATAACAACAAGAGATAAGCATTTGTTAACTGCGCATGAAGTCAATCGGATATACAAGGTCAAGGAATTAGATCCTCATGAAGCTTTTGAGCTCTTCAGCAGTTGGAATGGATTCTCAAGAAATAGATTTGCATGATGAGTACGAGAAACTCGCACAAACTATCACACACTATGCTCAAGGCCTTCCATTAGCTCTAATGGTTTTTGGCTCACTTCTAATCTGCATTAGATGGCTATAAAAGAGTTCCAAACAAAGAGATTCAGGAAATTCTCAAAATAAGTTATAATGCATTAGAAGAGCATGTGAAAAATGTTTTCCTGCACATCGCTTGTTTCTTTAGAGGGGAAAATAAAAACTATGTGATAAAAATACTAGAAATTTGTAACCTCAACCCTAAGTATAGTATTGTATTGCTCGTCGAAAAGGCCCTCATAAATATTGATGAGAGAGATTGTATTGGCATGCATCACTTGCTAGAAGAAATGGGTAAAGAAATAGTTCGCCAAGAGTCACCATCTGAGCCAGGCAAGTCAGGTCTGGTACAAACCTGCGCATACATTAGGCTTC